GACCTTCATTAATTAACCCAATAAGGTTTCATACAAGCCCAAGACCACATCTTTTGGTCCAACTTTCCTTAAGCCCAATCCAATTAATTTAAATAAATAAGATAATTAATTAAATACAGAAATTAAAATAACTAATTACATGAAGCACATAAACAAACAAGAATTTACAACTAAGTCATATAATACCAATAAAATCAACACACCAATAATTCAATCAATAATCAACCACACAAACAATCAATCATCATACATAATCACGAAATATAACTTAATTAAAATAAGATAATTAATCTAGCACTCAATAAAATAAAATAAATCATTGAAAAATAAAATAAAATAATTAATCCTAATTAATAAATCTTTTAAAATTATCGGGGCATTACAACTGATGAGGGGGAGTACTTAAAAAAGGTATTGACATTTACTGTACTCTTTTTCCTTTGCTTAGGTTTTTTCCCAATGGGTTTTCCTGGCAAGGTTTTAATGAGACAATTCTAAACTATACAATACCTTTTTCAAACATATAAGAATATTGTACTCTTTTTCCTTCGCTCAAGTTTTGTCCCAATGGGTTTTCCTGACAAGGTTTTAATGAAACATGTTCTTAGTGTAGCATTATGAACCCCAAGGGGGAGTGTTATAATATGTGAGCTCCACATCCTTTAATGCACTGACAGTATATGCAAATGGAAATGTAAAGTGTAGGCTGTAACTTGCATTAGTCATGATTACACTAAAATGACATGCATAAAAGAAGCATAGTTGATTGGTAGAGTGATGCAATGGGTAGTGTACACCGAAATAAAAAATGACAGGTATTTGAAGTACAAATTGTAATTGTACACTACTTCAATCGGTTGGATATCTATATATATGTATATATATCATTTAACAATGAATGAGAGAAACTATCAGCTATTCATTCTTTTTCTCTCTCTTATTGTTCTTTCAACTTTTTATTTTTATACTTTGATATTATTTTTATTACAATAGTCCGATACAATTCACCAATTCTAACATTTTTTTGTGTGCACCCAATCGATGTGACATGATAGGGTCTCTCCTCTCATTGGTGCTTCATAGACTGTGATACTATTTGGACTGTTGTAACATTTTTTTGTGTGCACCCAATGTGACATGATAGGGTCTCTCTTCTCATTGGTGCTTTATAGACTGTTATACTATTTGGATGGTTGAGATGATCCGACAATGTCATTTTCTTACCTGGTCCCATGTATAAACTATTAACCATGACATTCAGAACGTTAAGTGATAGTAGTAAGAGGATGGTAGCTAGTTGATAACTTCAAGGTCAAATATAAAGTCGCAATCATATAATATAAACAACTGAATATTAAAATGGAGTTCAGGCCTCACAATCTTTCTTCCATATGATTTAGTATAGTACTTGCTGATTTTCGCTTGATGAGTGGCCATTGCATTCCATCATAGAAAATCAAATATTGATGCAAATATTATAAATCTCTCTATAGATTTTCCCTCTATATCTCTCTATCTAAATATTATATAAAAATATATTATTTTAGTGTTGTAATCTATTGAAAAATTAGATATATACCCAGTTGAGACTTGTATATACAATACTCTAGAATAGAGAGGAGAGAAAAGATTTCAAAACTATAGATTGAGATGAAAAGGAGGAGAGAAATGGAAAAGGGGTCAGAGATAAGGTCTGCCATTGAAGAGCTCTTTATGGTCCTTGTCAAGGTTCAACCTACAAGTGTTGGTGTTGATGTTGATGATGCTATATATATTCCCACCAAACCTTTCCTATTTGTCTGCAACTTAGTCCTTCAAGTTCTTGGCTGGCCCCCCTCTCTCGAACCATTTTGCCTTAGTTAGAATTCTTGTTTCTGTTTGACTTCTAGCTCGAGCCTTAGGAACATAGACTCGAGCTTTGACACTTGGACTTCACCAAAATCACCATTTTTGACTCTGGACTTGCTTCAAATGACCAGCAACGACTCTATAATCTTCAATGTCAGTTTTTTCATCATAAAAGCTCAATTTTAACCATTCTTTTGGGAAAGTACCTAAAAACACGAAATAAACATAAATCAGTCTAAAACTTGATAAAGTATCACTTTAGGTCTTAACATATGCGTATTTAGGGGCTCGAATATGCAATATTCAGTGCTCATCACATAGTCCTCTAATTTTGTAGTTAAATTCATGTTTTCACCTAAATTTTGCATGCTAATTTGATGTCAATTTTGTAGTAGCATGTTAGAGTTTTATGTATGTGATGAATTATGTCAAATTGTTAGTTGTTATGTGATCAAACGTGACTTTTGTGAGTTAAATTGCAATTATAGTATGAACTATGTGGTTAATTTTGAATGAGCATGATAATTTGGGTTGAATTGACATTCTAATTGAATATGACATGCTAGATGCACCAAGTGTTTGTAATATTGCTAATGTGAGTATTTCATTGTCAAATTCATGTTATTGTTGTCTTAATATTCATATGTTGACATGTTCAATAATTGTGTTATTGTCAAATGCCAAGTATGTTTTAAAGTTGATGTTTATGTATAAATTCATGTGAAGTTAGAATTGTGACTATGAATTAACAATGATGACTATTGAAACATGCTATACATTGTAAGCATGACATTGATGACATTGCATTATCATTGGGCATTGGGTGTGTTGTTAGGAAATGTGGAATGTAAATGGTGAAATTTGAAGAAGTTTTGAGGAAAGGTTTTCCTAAACCCGGTTTTGGGGAGGTACCCCTCTATCGGTGGTGCTGACTAGCTAATAGGGACACGGGAGGTACCCATGAGTAATTTAATGACCTCGGACACCAAATGGTAGTTGGGAGGTATCCTTTGCCAGGGACGACTAGCAAATTCTCCCTAGGGATAGTGGGAGGTACCCAAAGTTCGGTTAGTTAGTACATTTTCGGTGTGGTTGTGTGGAAGTGTGGAAGTGTGACTGTGGTATGCGCTTGCATAAGTCACTTCAAAATTGTTGATGATGGATAACTTGTGACTTGTTGATGATGTGTGATCCCGACATGATTTCTATTCTCTTATTCTATTCATTAACGTGTAGACCTGCACACATTTATTTTGGGTAGTAGCCAAATGATTGTGTTGCCCTTAGACGACCTCGGGTTTGGTTAAGAACTAGGATAATGATTTAGACTCTCAGGTACGAGTCGTTACACTACTCGAGGAACTATAGCAACCGTAACCCGAGATGTCAACGAGCGGAGGAGTGGCTCACAACTGCTAGCTGGAAATAGTTAGATGACAGCATTTACGTACTTGAAATGGCACAGAGCGTGAGAGCTGAGGTTTGCTCTGACCCTGTCCCCGATGACCAGTTATCCCATCTTTACTTTTTCTGTAGGAAGCCAGTTGTAGTTCAATTGTAAGGGTATAAAGCGAATATGCATTTCATTCCTTCCAAGAGGTCGTAATGATAAGGCTCAAATAAGTCAGTGGGTAGGGATTCATTAGCTTTGAGATTTGGGACGTCCCTTGAAACTCGTTTTGACAGCTAGAGGTAATTATGAAGCTACAAACATGCCTAACTCTTATACCAAAGCTCGCAAGAATCGTAGAATCGAGAAAGATTGCCAAGCGCAAATGGGAAGATCGTTGAGCATTACACGGTTAGGATTGCTAGCTTTCTCTATAATATAAGTATCTCGGGCATGGTATATATATACACATGTGAAGTATATAAAAGTCCAGAAAAGACGGGCTCGTGCACAATGAAGAGGAACTACCATGTCATGGGATTCTTGGCAACGTGCAAGCGTGCTAGGTGTAAGTTTTCAAGTATGGATAAAACTGTTATTGCCAACTGCTAAGAGGTTACCAAGGATCGTGGGTGACATGGATGAGGTCTAGTATGATGCATTAATCAAGCTCTGAAGGAAACCATATATGAAGAAAACTACCAAGTTATGGGACACTTGGTAGTACAGAGATAGACCAAGTGGAAGGTTTAACTGCTTCTGAAACTGCCACCTCCAGCTGATACAAGAAGGATTCTATAAATAGAATACTTAGGCGTAACATACAAACCCTGTTCAGCGCACATAACAATACAGCACTTTGTTATTCAATTTCAATTCATGTATCTTTTCATTCCAGTAATGAATTTACATTATGTTTAATTTAAGTCCAGTACTTTCTTTTCCTACTCCATCTAATTACAAGTCTTGCACTTTCAATTTCCTTTTTCTTTCCACTAGCTTTAGAACTTTCTCTAAGTCCTTTTTCAAGGCAAAGAGAACCCTAGAAAGTGGTCATTCCAAACTTCTTTTCAATTGGCTGATCCTAATAATTTTTCATTGGAATATTGTTTGGTGTTCTTTTTTGGAAGGACAACAGTTCTTGGCACATCCACTTCCTTTCTACTGGCTTGGAAGTGACGACTTTTTGTAAGCCAACCAAAATTGTTTTGTTTTGTCATTTTATCTTAATGATATTTAATGGTACTGAAAAGAATGATTAATTTTTTTAAAATAAGAAAAAATAAATAAATAAATAAAAGCTGATTAATTATGATACCCTTTGTTCACAAGGAACGGTTGAAGACTACTGTTATTAATAATTGAGGTTAGTTTGATTCGATTCTCTTTTTTATCGGATTAAAACTAATACAGTTTCCCAAGTTTTTTAAACTGAAGCAATTATTATCAAAGAGCTTAACAAAACTATACGCTTCAATTTGGTCCGATAAAATTAACCAGTTCTAACATTTTTTTTTTTGTGCACCCAATCGATGTGACATGATAGGGTCTCTCTTCTCATTGGCGCTTCATAGACTGTGATACTGTTTGGACGGTTGAGATGATCAGACAATGTCATTTTCTTATCTGGTCCCACGTATAAACTATTAACCATGACATTCAGAACGTTAAGTGATAGCAGTAAGAGGATGGTAGCTAGCTGATAACTTCGAGGTCAAATACAAAGTCGCAATCATATAATATAAACAACTGAATATTATAATGGAGTTCAGACCTCACAAGCTTTCTTCCATATGACTTAGTATTGTACTTGCTGATTTTCGCCTGATGAGTGGCCATTGCATTCCATCTTAGAAAATCCAATATTGATGCAACTATTAGAAATCTCTCTCTAGATTTGCCCTCCATCTCTCTCTCTCTCTAAATATTATATAAAAATATTTTATTTTAGCAGTGTAATCTATCGAAAAATTAGATATATACCCAGTTGAGACTTGTATATACAAGGCTCTAGAATAGAGAGGAGAGAGAAGATTTCAAAAATATAGATTGAGATGAAAAGGAGGAGAGAAATGGAAAAGGGGTCAGAGATAAGGTCTGCCATTGAAGAGCTCTCTATGGTGCTTGTCAAGGTTCAACCTGCAGGTGTCGATGTTGATGATGCTACATATATTCCCACCAAACCTTTCCTATTTGTCTGCAACTTAGTCCTTCAAGTTCTTGGTTGGCCCCTGTCTCTCTCTCTCTCTCTCTCTCTATATATATATATATATATATTAAAATTATGATTTGGGTCTCCACTATTTTCTTGAAATCAGTATATTACTATATAATTTGAAAAGGGTCTTCATCAAATTGCCTCTTTTGCAACTAATCACCATCTTTTTAATGGCCTTTAAATGATCTCTTTTTGTATTTTCTGTTAGGAGATTTCCAAACTTTGAATATAGTACACACACAACATCTTATTTAGATTTTATGTGGTTTTGTTTTTCAGATAAGATAGGGCCAACAATGGCTGTTATGAGGCAAGACGTTGATCAGAATATCCAGGTATATGATAACCAATGCATTTGCTAATTGTATGATTGATTGTATACATTTTGTCATTGTCTTATCTTGTGAAGAACACACGCTTTTGGGTCCTATTTTGACTTTTATGCATGATGATGAAACCCCTGTAATTGAAGGACAACTTTGTCATTTTCCTTTCTCAATCACAAATGGGTACCACATTTTAATTATATATACATATATATATATATATAAAACTTTAATCCAAAGTGACTGATTTATCCTTGTGTGTCTTTTCTCCTACTTAATTAGTCTAGGGGTATTTGATGAAATTCCAAGTTGAAACTTTTGTTTTGTTTCATTTCCAGAGATTGGAGAAGCTATATGAATCTGACCCTTCATTGTATTCAAATTTGGTTGAGATATTGAAGAAAGAGGCTAAAGAAGGCAATGCAAGAAAGGGCCCAAGTTGTAGTAAAGCCTTTGTTTGGCTTAGCAGGTAAATGACTTCTTGTCTAATCAAAAGGATATGAGTGCATCAAAGTTTTACAATATTGTCTTAATAGGGTTTGCTTGATTCCGTTTTCTCATAAAACTGTACAAAAAATTTCTTCCTTCATAGTTTCTGAGAATTATTTTCTTATTTAAAAAAAATTATTTGTTTTCAAATAACTTCTTTTATAGTTTTGTGAATTCAATTTTTTATTCTCAGGAAATTATTTTTTGAGTGAGAAATCAAACGGGCCTAGCACCTGCTGTTGGTAAAAGAGAGATCATACGTTCTGGGCTAATGCCCATTGTAAATCTTTTGTTGGAATTAGTAGGAGCTCTTCTTTATCACATGGCATGTTTCACGAATCGTTATTAAAAGAATCTTTTCACTAAAAATATCATATATAAAATTTGAGAAATTAATGCTAGAAGTAGAGCACATGTGGCCTAGTGATTATCAATGTTGGATGAAGTGGGCCTTTGTATATTTGTGGCTGGCAATTTTTAGAGTACATGAAAGAATTGGTGTCTGTGACACTAATTTCATATTAACTTGATAGTGTGGATTAAACATGCCATATTAGCAACTGGTACAAACTAACTTAATCTCAATAACATTAGGCTTCGGTTATTGATGCATTGCTTCAAAAACTGGAAACCAAAACATGACTAGTTTGGAACAGGGCTGAAACAACCCATCTCAACCCAAAATTCATTCCAATTCAATCGTTGATTCGGTGCTTCAAAACATAAATTTACAAATTAAAGACTTAGCATAAACCATGTTTGTGTTGTAGTAGGGTGCCCTTATTGTCAAACCATGTTACTGCCTGAGAATCTCGAACTGTTCAACATTTTAAATCGCTCATGCAGCAGCCACTTTGCTGCACCCATGTATGTATTTAATGAAGCTCTGGGCGGCATTGTTCAGGCATGTATTGGGAGGTCTTTTTTTTTATTATTTTTTTTTATTTTTTTATTTTTAGTTGATACTCACACTGTCACACACCCCCCATCAACGAATTGTTTCCACCGGAGAGGATTCGAACCTTAGACCCGATGTTTCATGAGACACCGGGCCAAGTTCTAATCCACTTGAGCCAACCCCTTGGTCATTCTTGTTATTTGGTAAGCTTTGATGTTCATTTTTTTTTCCCTGAAAAAAAAAAATAAAAAAGAAAAAAGAAAAGAAACAATAAACTAATAAGGTTTCACTTGCAGAACGATGGATTTTGCAGTTACTCTGTTGCAGTTATTGGTGAAGGATTTTGGGAAGAGCATGGAGCAAGCAGTGGAAGAATCGTACAACATCAACCTAAAGCCATGGCATGGATGGATTTCATCAACTGCCTACAGAGTAATAATACATTCTTCTTTGTTTTGTTTTCTTTTTCGGGATCTTATATATATATATCTAGAGAGAGAGAGAGAGAGCAATCTCTATGTCCGGGGAGGGGGGAAAAACGCTCTCACTCGAATCTGTTCCATACTTGTGAGGACACCAAGCAATGACCTCAACCTTATCTATACATATATATAATGTGAAATAGACACAAGGAAGATGGCTTGTTTGATTTCGACTATTCTTGTGTTAATGCACAATGGACACATGGAACATTTTTGGGCTCATTAGACATTTTGAACTTATGCTAGAACCATACTAAGGTTATGCAACTCTTAGTACTTTGCATTCCTCTTGCCTAAATATATATTTTTTTTGTAGGTAGCACTCAAACTACTGCCTGATAAGAAAACTTTTATTGATATTCTAATGTCCAAAGATGAGGACTTTGACATGCTTAAAGAGGACATTCAGGCCTTGAATTCATTACTCATGCCTCTTCTAGAAGACATCCACTCCACTTTGGTAAGCCTACCACCTCCACCATTATTATATTCTCTGTTTGATCACACTATGCTTTTATCCCTATGTCAAAATGATCACCATATATGTATGTCTATTTATTAACATTATCTATAATTTATGTAATTTTGCAGAGAAGTTGTGGTTTGGATAGGTTAAAGTCTACCTGAAGAGAGAATGTGTTAACAAACCTAATCAGATGTACAGTACTTTTCAGTTTTGTGTAGAGATTTTTTCAACTTTATTTATGTCCCTCTGATGTAAGTACAAATACATATATATAGTTCTGCTCGTGCTGTACAAAGTAAGAAATATGTTATAAAAGGTGTGAGTTTTTGTGAAGAATCTAATTTGTTGTGTTAATTATGTTGTCATCTGATTTATCTTAAAAAGATACAGATTTTGTTATGTTTATGTTGTGTTTAGTACATTGCGATCCTCAAGGCTTAAATGTGAACTTCACAGGCAAAACAATTCAATAGATCTCATGTTTATGTTGTGTTAGTTGTTGCTGCTAAAATTTTACAGTATATATATCAGTGCCCTTTGTTTTTGATTCTTTACTTCAAGCTAGTTGACTCTTCTATCTCCCTAAGAAAGGCACTAAACTCTTTTAGAGGAGTTTATTTTCAAATGTTATTAGTCCAAGACATTTCACACAGTGTGTGAGAAGTTGAATCCAGAGGATATGGTTCATTAAGAAAATAAGAACATGTGTGAGGCTGGATGTGTTCCAAATATTTGTTTTTCCCCTCCCTTGGGTTGGTAAGGTTGATGCCAACACTTCTCAAGGCAGTTTAAGAAGCACCGCCAGCGCCTTAACCTCTTGAAGAGAACTCGACATATAGAACTTGTGACTTGCACCAAACATTGTTGCCCTTACTATTTGTCTGTCTTTAGTCTTCCCCTCCCGGTATTCCATATACGTGGGACAGACACTGGCATATTGTTACCCCTATCTAGTCTTCACTTCGCCATCAAACCTGTAAACTTGCATTTCTGTGCTGTGTGAATTGCAAGTAGTATCATATAATTTAGCATATGGCTGACAGGATTCAATTTGCAGCGTAGGCACTCAAATCCCAGCCACTAGTTGCAATGCGCGATAGTAATAAAGTTACCCCTGTAGTATTCCCAAGTGCAGTTTAAGGTGGAAATGCAAGTTTGACATTTGATTTGGCAATACATCTCCCAATTGAGATATGTGAAAAAGAATTTAAGCACTAGAGTTATTCTTGAAGGCAGCCTATACTTCACAAACTATTAGCAAAAAATGCTAAAAAACAGAGTTTCACTTTCATACATATCGTCTACCTTTTTCTTCGTTTCCCCCGGAAGTAACTTGGGTTTAGGTTTTGAAATTCGTATGGAACCTATGACAGGGAAAAAGGAAAGAGAATTTCAAGGAGCTGAAGCAACTGGATTGACATTTTGGAAGATACCGGTCATGTCTATGCCCAATTTGATGCTTGCCGAATTAGAAGAATGACGAGGATAATCATGAAGTGCAATGAGTGCTGCGACTAAACCAGCATTGCTCGATATGCTTGGCTCTGTGAACCATGGTTTGTCCCTGTTGTCTAGGAAAAGGTCATTCTGGTCTGGCCCTGCTACCATGGCTCCTAAAAGAACATTAGGATTTGGATCTTTTGAGTTTCGCCATCTTTCTCCTTGTGCACAGGAATGCCTTTGACCATCCCAAGGGATCGACGCAGCCCTGTGATGAACTTGAGTCGGATACTGGTCTCCATATCCCACTACATAGCTCATCTTCATTGGATTATCTCCAAGTATGTAGTTAACCTGAAAAGATTTGGAAAAAGAAGGAAAAGTTAGACACCGTACCGCTGGATTTGCATATGCATTCTTAGAAGCATGTTTTAGAAATATTATAAATTTTACTTGCCTGCGACTTGGAGAAGCTCCGCAACATGTCCAGGGAGAAGTCGGTGGTACTGCTGCAACTCCCACCAGATCTACGCAGAAGGTCAAGGTAGTCGCTATACAATTTACTCAGAAAAGAAGCCGTCACAGCGTACTGGAGTGGTGCACCAGAATCAGGATTTAAGAGAATCAATCCACCTAGTTAAAGAAAATGTGTGCGTCATGGATGAACTAATGGCCAGGCTAAGCAATGAGCAAAACATTAATCGGTGCAACATTTTTCACATTATGTTACATAATGTACTTAAACAGACATTTACCATCTGTTTTAGTAAAGTGTTGTTCAGTAACCGAAAGATATGAACACATGAGCAAGTCAGTCCTGTTTGAGGATGAAGTGAAAGCAGCTTCATACGGGTATCCAAGATCGCGGAAAAATCTAAGTCGTGTCAGCAAGAGCTACAAAAAAAAACAACGAATTTATTCCAAGAAACTATAATGTTGATAACTTCTAATGCTGAACTTACTGAATTAGCAGTAAGCTTGTAATTCCAGTTGAAAATCCCTCTCTCGGAAAATTTTTCATCCTCATCGGCTGAGGCAAACATATCAGTTGCATTTCCAAGATGACTATAGTTCCCGGTAGCCAAGAACAACCATGTTCCTCCCCAAACCAATTCGTCTTTATAGCCGGATGAATTATAAAACTGTCTTGCTTGTTCTCCACAAGCATCACTAGTGTATGTTGCTTGTATATGTGAGTCATTCCTAGTCACAAGTTCAAACAATGTCTCTGCTTTTTCGGCTAATTTTCCTGAATAATCTATATCTTCCTTGAATACTAATGATGCAGCCGACAATGCTGCAACAATTTCCCCGGCTAGATCTGAAGCTGTGCTACCACAACTTGAAACTGGCCTCGCGTAGCTCATATCCTCCGGTCTCTGCCAGCAGCTTATGTCGTTTTCAATTGTAGTATTGGTACTTCCAACCTAAACCTCAAAACCAAAAAATTATAAAGCCGAAACATAAGTAGACATGTCTATGACATCTTCACTGATTAGACCCTGAAACAAATTTGTCATATGAAACATACAAAGAGCTTGCCTGAGAATACAAATTGGTTTGAGCAGAAGTTGCATTTGGAGGAACAAAAAGCTTGAGCAAGTAGTCACTGCCCCATCTGATAATGTCCTTAACATGGTCAAGCTCACCTATATCAGCATACTTCTGATGATATTCAATCACTGTCCAGCTCAAGAGGGTAACAGTATAAGCTGTAGGGAAGCTGAACTTAACATTGTTTCCCGAATCATAGAAGCCGCCCTCAAGATTTGCGCGCGGGTTGCTCATGTTCCCGTCGTCCAAACCTGAATCTCCACGGAATGATACCAAACTGTTCTTTGGGAAAATCCCAGCTGCACCAAGAAAGAAAACATCAATTCTACAGTCAAATATATATATATATATATATATATATATATATATATATATATATATATATTGTTACTGAAATATCAATTGTGATATATTACACTTTTGTGCATCGAAGAATAGAAGAGCTTGGCTTAGTGCTTGTGTTAGGTTCTGGGAAGCGCCATGGTGGTGATGTTTGTGTGGCAAAAATTGTAACAATAGAATGAGTAGAGTGACAAGGAAAACAATGGAGACCGAGATATAGACAAAGCGCTTGAAATACTTTCTATTGGTGATAACAAGATTGAAGTCCACGGATTTAGAGAATCGCGAAGGGAGTGAATCAAATCCGGTGGAAGATTGAGGGAGGAGATTGAAGTCGAGTTCTATGGAGTTCCAACGGCTGGCTGAGGGGAGAAGCCGGCCTGCCTCAGAAATTGTATGGACAAACCTTTCAGTGTGCATATTCGTATCAGAGGCAGAAGTGAGGCTCTGAGAGTAGCTGGATTGAGGCATGGTTAATGAAGAATGTGAAGTTTAGAACGATCAAAATGTGGTGTATAGAGAAGTGGAAAATGATCATGCACTATTGAAGAACAGTAAGGGAAGTTTGAATAAGCCAAAAGGCAACTGTCATAACGGTCATTCCAATGTGTGCCTGTATGTATATATATATATATATATATATATAGATAGATAGATAGATAGATAGATAGATAGAGAGAGAGAGCGCGCGAGAAGGGCATCCTCATTGTGAGCCATACTCACAGTTTCATATATATGCTTAGCTGCTGCCGTCCAAATGGCAATTGTCAGCACTCAATGAAGAGAAAATGAAGTCAAAAAAAGAACTGATAGTTAAAAACGGTAAGCTTGTATAATAGTGAGAAAACTGTAAAAAAAACACGAGGCACCAAGCCAAAATAAAAGAAACATGAACAAAGCTAGTGCAGACAGTATGGTTCAGAGCTTTTTCATGCTTCACACCTACAACTCTGCAAAGCTCAAAGTTCACATTATACTGTAAACTTTAATAATTCATGTTAAGCCATTAATCACAAATTTACATGAATCCCATATTTTAGAACTTCATAATTTTCACATATCTATAATACATAAATAAATGGTTAGATATAAATATCTTAATTCATGATATCAAACCTTGTTGAGATTAAATCCATAAAATCCTATAATCACGAACTAATCTGCAACTATGATCAACAGGCAAAAATGGAAACTGATTTCTCTCTCTTGGCCCTTTGCACACATAAAACTTTTACGTGTTGTATCATTAATCGTACATAATTGATGGAGTATATGCAATTTTATAAAGGCAGAGAGATGGCCAGTTTTCTTTCAGTAACATAATTCTACTTTCCATTAAAGTAAGGAATAAGAAAGAAAAACACTTCTCCAATAAGTAATTACCAAAAAGGTAATTATAAGTTGACCAAAAATAAATAATATTAATTGATATCTATTTACTTAGACACCAAGTAATATGTCACATGTCCAAATCACGTGGGCCACAATTAAATAAATAATCTTACATTCTCCCACTTGACACATATGATAATTTCTGTAGTGGTTTAGTAAAATAGTCATTAGTGTGCACCATAAATCAGATTAAGGTATTAAGTTGGTCATCATAAATACCATGGTAAACAAACTACCAATATGAGTCATGGCGGTTGTATGTCCCTAAAACGGTAAGCTTGTATAATAGTGAGATAACTGTAAAAAAACATGAGGCACCAAGCCAAAATAAAAGAAACATGAACAAAGCTAATCACAAAACATCCAAAATGACAATAGTTAGACTTCGAGGGCTACCAAACCAGCAACTATAGTGCAGACAGTATGCTTCAGAGCTTTTTCATGCTTTACACCTACAACTCTGCAAAGCTCAAAGTTCACATTACACTGTAAACTTTAATAATTCGTGTTAAGCCATTAATCACAAATTTACATGAATCCCATATCTTAGAACTTCATGATTTTCACATATCTATAATACATAAATAAATGGTTAGATATAAATACCTCGATTCATAATATCAAACCTTGTTGAGATTAAATCCATAAAATCCTATAACCACGAACTAATCTGCAACTCTGATCAACAGGCAAAGATGGAAACTGGTTTTTCTCTCTTGGCCTTTTGCACACATAAAACTTTTACGTGTTGTATCATTAATCGTACATAATTGATGGAGTATATGCAATTTTATAAAGGCAGAGAGATGACCAGTTTTCTTTTAGTAACATAATTCTACTTTCCATTAAAGTAAAGAATAAGAAAGGAAAACACTTCTCCAATAAGTAATTACCAAAAAGGTAATTATAAGTTGACCAAAAATTAATAATATTAATTGATATCTATTTACTTAGCCACCAAGTATTATATCACATGTCCAAATCACGTGGGCCACAAATAAATAAATAATCTTACATTCTCCCACTTGATAATTTCTGTAGTGGTTTAGTAAAATAGTCATTAGTGTGCACCATAAATCAGATTAAGGTATTAAGTTGGTCATCATAAATACAATGGTAAAAAAACTATCAATGTGAGTCATGGCGGTTGTATGTCCCTAAATGATATAGTGCCTTCCATGTACCACAACACTAGTAACCTATTCAACATAGTCTATAAATGAGAAGTATCAATAATGATCTAACAATAATGTCTTTTCCAAGACTATTCCTATTACCACTTATTAAAGCAATACGTACATGTATATTAACTAATAGGAAATATTAGAAACACATTTAATGAGCGCAAAATGTCAAATATATATAAGCACTGTTAAGCAATCCACAATTAAAAAATAATCATTATTGACTACATTCAAAACCCATTCTTTTAACATGTTCCATAAATGTCTTGGGTGGTAGTTCATTCGTTAATGGATTGCAATCATAAGTTGTATATTTATATATTCAATAGCCATTCGTTGTTTCTAAACATCTTCTTTAATGATAAAGTATTTCAACTTTAGAATACCTATCATTTTTCATACAAGGAGATCAACAAATGCAACATAAATTTTCAGCAATCTGAAAATGTTACCCATAACTCCAAATTCTGAAATAAATTTAGCAATAATAAATTGTAGCCTCAAAGCATGCTACAAATTAAAAATTCATAATAGACAAAGTAATAAAAAATTACTTTATACTTTTTCATAATATTGTTTTTCCAGCCAAAAGAAACAAATAGCCAATTAAAAAATGTCTTTATAAGTGTGAGCATATAATCTTTTATCACATACCAACTTGTATATACATCAAACTCCACAATATATGCATTAGGAATATTTTTCGCTTCTTTACCTTCTAGCTAACTCATTATTTGGGATTGCATTAGGCTGAATTTATCCTCTTTTATGTATGGAACAATATTGGTTGAACAATGTTCCATATCAAATCTTTCTAGAACTCTTTCAATATGTGTTTTCTGAGACAAATCTAAAAATCCACGTGATCTATCATAAAATATTTCTATTCCGATCACGTAAGATGTCTCATCCATATCTTTCATTTCAAAGTTCTTAGAGATAACTTTTATTTTCATATAATAAACTAAGATCACTACTAACAAATAAAATATCTTCAATATATAGAATTAGAAATATAAACTTACTCCCACTAACCTTCTAGTATATACACTGATTAATAGTGTTTTCCTTAAAACCAAAAGAAATAATGGTATCATTAAATTTAATATACCATTGTTAGAAAGCTTGTTTAAATCCATATATTGTCATCTTAAGATTATAGACCATGGATTCTTTACCCTCTAACGTGAAGCTTTCAGGTTGTTCTATATGGACTTTCTCCTATAAACTCCCATTCATAAAAGTTGTATTTACATTTATTTAATGTAACTTTAAATCATAATAAGTTACTAATGCTATGATATTTTAAAAGATTCCTTCTTATATACTGGAGAGAAGGTTTCTTTATAATCTCTTCATTCATGGTATTAATCCATTTAGTAAAATCATTACTGTTAATGGCTTTTAAATATGCAACCGGATCCGTATATATCTCACTATATATCAAAATCAGATTCTTGCAGATATATCACATAGTCCATCCAGAATAGCAGATCTCCTTTCTCTTTGAGATCGTCTTAATATTATTTCTTATGATTTTTTTACAATCTATTTATTGGTGACAATCTCATTATAGAGTTGTTGATCATTCAATTATTCTTCGTTGTTATACGGTTCAACAACTGAAGGAACAATTATTTCCTTAGAAGTTATGGATAAGTAAATTTATACTGTGATTTCTTGAATGATCACATTCTTATTTTTATCACTCCCACTGACTTCACCATTCTTAATGAATCTGACATTACCGGTTTCAATAATTATCGTACTATATTTATGATAGTAAAACTTGTACCCTTTAGATTACTTAATATCCACAATATTATGGGTAACGAAGAATTACTTAACATACTTCTAACTAATTCCATAAGAGTATGATTACGCCTTACAGCTACATGCTTTTGCTGTGGCATGTATAACAAAGTGTATTGAGCACAAATGTCATATATTTCAAGGAGTTTAACAAACGGTTAGAGTATTAACTATTTTCATCATACTTTTCATAATATTCACCACCTCTATATGACCTTATGATTTTCACTTTTCTATCTAGTTGTTTTTCAACCTCATTTATGTATACTTCAAGAGTACTCATTGCTTGAGATTTTTCATACAACAAATAGATATATCCATAACGTGAAAAATCAACTATAAAGACGATAAAATACTTTTCTCCTCCAAAAGATGAAACATCAGAAGGTCTACAAATGTCTGTATGAATAATTTCAAGAAGCTATGTACTTATTGTGGCTTATTTCTTTATGTGTTTGATTTGTTTACCTTTAATACAATCCACACACACACATCAAAATCAATAAAGTTTAGATTCAGAAGAATCATATCCTTTACTAATTTTCCTAACATTTCACTAGATATTAACCTAGTCTTTTATGCCATAAGAAAGATAAATTTTTTATTAATTGAGCTATGCTTAATTCTAACATTATGATTACAAGATCAAAAGATTTTTTAATAAATAAACTATCAAGTTTGAATTTACAAAAATCATCAATAATAATACCATAACTCATAAATTAGAATTTCTTAAATAAACATCATTATCAAATTTAAATGAAAAACCATTAACAAAAAGTTTTGAAATAAAATCAAATTATAGGAAATTGAATAAACATAAAAAGTTTAAAATAATTTAAATAAAATGCACTATCTAACATTAAACATAATATTACAATGGTTTCAACAAAACTTTTTCCCAATTATCATAAATAAGAAATTCTTATTTGAATTTGTGGTTTAGGCCATAAGAAATTCTTGCATCTATTAGAAACATAAATATCAGTACTTAAGTCAACCTATCATGTATTAGAAAGAATTTCAATAAGTAATTCAAAATATACAAAAACCAAAAGCTTACCATTCTTTTTTGAATAATTC